AAGCAATCTACGTACTTTAGCTTTAGCCATGGATATAAAGAAATGAAGTTGTAAATTAAGTTAAAACTATATATGTTTCTATACTATGTATGATTACATGTGATAATTCTATCATTCATTTTTGTTAATATATATGTATATATGTATTTATACATACAAATATATATTATTGCTTATCATGTTTATGCAAAAATATAGATAAAAATGTGATTTGTTTGTTTCCGACTAGTCCCCGACTAGGCGCCCGCCTAGCCGCCTAGGCGCTAGGCGCTGGGCTGGCGCCCGACTAGCGCCTGGCGCCTTTTAGAACATTGGCCGAGACAAAGGTGATACCCGACCGGGTATGGGTATATACCCGACCGGGTATTGGTTAGAAATGGCTCCAGAAGCCACTGTCTTACTAGACCCGACCGGGTAAGGGTATGGACCCGACCGGGTCTCAAGTAAAATCAGTTTCAGGGGCTTCTGCCCCGACCTACCCGACCGGGTAAGGTTGGATACCCGACCGGGTATTGGACTAGGCCCAAAACAGGCAGTTTTGAGCAGGTTAACGTGGGTCGTTCAAGTGGGACCCGCCCACGTTGGTTACTAGGGATTATCATATGACTATAGGACTAGGTATTGTCCATAGTTAAGTGAATGAAAGGTTAGCCATATCCAGGTTAGGGTTTGGTTAGAAATAAGGTTGAGGTTGAGTATCCTCGGGACGGTTAACGATCCCAAAACTCGGTGAGGTTGAGTATCCTCGGGATGGTAAACAATCCCAGAAACTCGGTGGGGTTGAGTATCCTCGGGACGGTAAACAATCCCAGAAACTCGGTGAGGTTGAGTATCCTCGGGACGGTAAACAATCCCAGAAACTCGGTGAGGTTGAGTATCCTCGGGACGGTAAACAATCCCAGAAACTCGGTGAGGTTGAGTATCCTCGGGACGGTAAACAATCCCAGAAACTCGGTGAGGTTGAGTATCCTCAGGACGGTAAACAATCCTAAAACTCGGTGGGGTTGAGCATCCCCGGGACGGTAAACACTCCCGAAACTCGGTAGGATATTATGAAGGTAGAATGTAGCTCGTGAGCTAGGCATTCAGGATGAAAGGGGAAAGGTTGGGTAAGTACCTTATCTCTAAAAGACTTTTTGTGAGGAAACGACCTATGGGTCAAGTATTTTACAAGTATATACAGTATGTATTATCTTGGGAATGGGGTAACAATGGTTACACCTATATATATGTATCATCCTATTTTTGGGTCTCGTGTCTGAAACATTAGTTATTCCTCATATAGCCTGCTTGTCACTAGTACTTCTATGGAGTACTGACCCCTTCGGGGGCCCTCACATTTTTCAGGTTGAGGCTAGAGTCCTACTACCTGCACCTTCGCCTAGGGTGATTGATCAAGGAGGAAGACGTGGTTCGTGCTTCCATTCTTATTCAAAAATTGATGAACTGCTCATGGATATTTTTAACAATGTTTTCTATTAAAACATTTGGGGGCCTGCGTGCCCGTATTTGCCACGTGTGGCTAAGTATCAAACACATCTTATTTTCCGCATTTGTTTGACTAATATATATTGATGTTGATTGTATGGGTTTACTAATCGGCTTGGCAATAGAACTTAACGGACGCCTTGTATGATTTGATAAGGATGAACTACGTTGTTCTTATTAGGTTGTACGGCGGTTGTCTACGTGGCACGGACGCGGTCCGGGGCGTGACAGTCCCAGTTCCTATTTACTTGGTCAACACAAATCATTCTTAATTTCTTACTTTATATATATAAAATTTATCTAATTTCATTCAGGTTTTTGCGACTTTGTAAGGTTTTAAATATTGTTTCTGAATATGTAATTTTTTTCCCTAAAACTAATTTGAGTGCGGACATGGATCTGCTTGCTTTATCGCCAGTCAAACATCGTAAACCGTAAAGAGACAATTTAAATGGCACGGAGGAAGTATCTCATATGCAGTGCTTTTAATTATAAGAAGATAAGTGGACTAATAATTGAGAGAGAAAATTTTCTTTCTCACATAGTGTCACATGTAGTTTTTTATTTATAAGATAAGAGAACTAATAAATGAGCAGAAGAATTTCACTCTCACATGTAGTGCTTTAAGTACAAGATAAGTGGACTACTAATTGAGCGGAAAAATTTTCTCTCTCATACGTAGTGATTTTAGATATAAGAAGATAAACATAGTAATAACTAAGCGGAATTTTTTTCCTCTCATGTGTAGTACTTTTAGGTATAATAAATAAAATAAGCGGGAAAATTGCTCTCATATTAGTGCTTTAGGTATAAGATAAGCAAATTAATAATTGATCAGGAGAATTTCCTTTTTGATATTTTCTGATTTTTCTCTGTCATATCCTTTTGAACTTATGGGAAGACATTTTCCTATCATTGTCATATATGTTATGAAAATCAATAAATATCTATCTCTAAACTTAATAGTTATATAAAGCTTTATATATGTGGCGTTATCAAGGGTGAAAACATGAAATGGTTATTTTAATACATGATTAGGAAATAAAATCATTAGACGTTATCACTTAAAGTTATCACTTAAAGCTCTCTTTAAGGTAGTTTTCAAAACTCGGACAATTAAGTTCAATATATTTCATTATCCGTTACATACACTAACAATATTATTACATAGCAAATTTTAATGGATGGTGTCAATTTTTTTTTACTTTAATTTTGTTTTACTTTAAATATTTGTTCTACGAGTTTATACTTTTTGATATTCACTTATTTTAATCCATTTTTAAAATGATGTAAAATTGAAAAAAATTCATATTTTATCAAATCGTGAACAACATATATATGGACCAACTGTTTTTCCCGTGCGTATGCACGGGTACTGTGCTAGTAATTATAATATCTGATACCATGATTTCATTATAAATTAAAACAAAAAGCAATCTATACAATCTTATTTGTCCTCTTTCATAAATGTTATTGTCTTCTGGCCAGTGGCGGAGCCAGAGGTTTGTCCAAGGAGGGGCAAACTGAAGACTAAAAATTTTAAAGTGCAATCCAAAATATAATAAGAACAACAATAGCGTAATAAATTAGCAAAAAAATTATAGTTCATTACATACTACTTGATTTACTTTTGCAACGTAGGCAAATCAATCCTACGAGTTTCATATTTTGAAAATGCTGCATAATAGCTTCATTATCAATTGCTTGAAAAATGTCTCTTTCGATGTAGCATACTAAACAATCCGTAAGATAGTCATCTCCCATCTTATTGCGAAGATCTGTCTTGATAATATTCATCACTGAGAAAGCTCTTTCAACTGTGGCTGTTGCAACTGGTAACACTAGAGCCAACTCAATAAGACGATTGACCAAGTGAAAAGATTTGTGAATTGTAAGCTCAACCATCTTCTTAGACACTTCACCAATACTTTGTAAAGTGGAAAATGCTTCATTCCCTCTCATCTCATATATCCAAACTTGGAGTTGTTCTTTAAGCTCCATTTGCTCAACAGCTGAAAAATCAGATGAATACAACTCCGCAAGACTGGGGAGCCTTCTTCCAGTTACGGAATCCGGTCCTCACAAACACATCATCACCAAATCTCTTTCCTTCTTGCCCATGAAAAGGGTAACACCAAAAACAGAAAGCAGCATCTTCAGAAATACTATATTCCAACCATTCCCAAGTTTTAAACCACTCTCCTCGAAAGCTCCTTAATGACTTTCCAAATTCAGTTCGTGGAAACTTATGAGATGCTGGTTGACAAGCACCTTTAACAACATATGCTCTCATCACATCATCCCTAACCCCCGGCGCATATTCATTAATTGGTTTTCGTAAAAATGGATCACTAATAATATCTCATTCATGTGTACTTTCTGTTCGGGCTCTCTTGTCCCTCTCATTCCTCTCATCTCTAGCAATATTTTCATTTGACGCAGTGGCATTTCCAACACCGGAGATAGACTGATTAGGAACAATTGAAGAATTAACACTTAATCTTAAAATAACCTTAAGTTGTACTTATTGTTTTTAAAAAAAGAAGTTGGGGCAAGAAACATACGAGTATTAATTATAAGTAATACTAGTAAAAACAATTGGTCGGAGCGGGGGCGCTTGCCCCCCCTTGCCCCCCCTAGCTCCTCCACTGCTTCTGGCATTCTTTAACTCTTCACTACGAATTAAAAGTAACTTTATACTTTTAATTCTATAAAAGTGTGATATCAAATCTCTATTTTTAATCGAAGTGTTGCAAATGTTATAAGAAAAGGGTCAAATAGACTCTCTTGCTATTACACGTTTATGACATAAACTCATGTACTAAAAAACTATCCTATAAATTTATTTACTTTAAAAAAATCAATCAATTTAGTTAATTTACAGGAAGGTGACCATATATTGTACTCCTTTCTTTTTAATTTAGTCAATTTAATTAATTTACAGGAGTAGTTTAGTAGGAGGTTCTTTACAGGAGATAGATGTGACAGATATCCTTGAAACTATTACTCTTCGAGTTTCTTTTCACCTCAAAAAGGATTGATTTCTCCTCAGACCGAAGTTTTGGAATATAATGCTTTGGGTGGAAAAAATCTTGAGGTTATGCCTATGATACTTTCTGATCGTGAGCTACTTGAAGTTATACCTGCCACTCCCTTTGTTGACCAATGATTGGTTGGCTTCATTAATATTCAAAGTCATAGTTTTGCAATACACATGGAGGTTCTCATGTTAGTTGGAATGCTCACTCTTTTTAATTTGCAAGTGTTAAACATTAGTACCCCATAAAGAGTTTAAATAAAGAAAAAAAATACTATCTTTTGAAGGATAGTCTTTATTTCCTATAGACATTTTTATGGGCCTCAAGTTGCCATTTTATGTGAAGCTCTAAATTTTTCCAACTTGCTTCTGCAAGCTTAGCATCAACCATGTGAAATTTTTCTTGCACTCCAAGTTGTTCTTGAACTTTTGCTGTAAAAGCATGGGCATATGCAACTTTAGTTTCAGGTGCGAACTTGATTTGTTTATATTCGAGGTAAGGGTCCGATTAGTACTCGAAGTTGCATAAAAAGTGTTAAATTGGTCCTTATATAGGAGGTTCTGTCTGGCCGTCGTCATTTGAGGTGGTTCCCGGTGCAATTTTTTGAAGAATGTTTTTTAGCATCTTATTCTTTAAGTCTAGTTTACTCATACCAAATTTCAGCTAAGAATTCAACCGGGAAGGCATTCAAATGAATTCTTGAAGATAAATGTGCAGTTAAAAGCGCAATTATCTTCAAGAATTTATTTGAATGCCTTCCCGGTTGAAGTTTTAGCTGAAATTTGGTATGAGTAAACTAGATTTAACGAATAATATGCTCAAAACATTTCATCAAAAAATTCCATCGGGAACCGCCTCAAATGGGGACGGCCGAACAGTAAGGACTTATTTGACACTTTTTATGCAACTTCGAGTACCAATCTGACCCTTACCTCGTTTATATTCTATTTGTGTATGTCTCTCTCAAAGCCTTCAAAAGCTACATACAAATATAAAAATCTCCAGTAAACAAGCACTTAATCCCTCAGGATGCTAACAAGGTAGCCAATAGAGGTGATGATGGTAGTTCGGCACTGGGTTGCATGTGAGCTGCGTCTGTGTAAACTTCATCTTATTTTGTAATACATGGTGTTACTTATATTAATAAAAAATGTCAGATTTTTTCATTAAGGGTATTGATGTCAACTCATACCTTTTCAGTCCTACGGAAGTAATAAAACATTGGAAGTCCTTTTGTTGCACCTTTAACAAATTTTAGTCCTAGTTAGGGAATTATGTTATTGTTTTTCGTGTTACATCACTGTTCAAGTATTCATTCATTATTTGGGTTTTTTTTGAATAAAATAATGTCACGTACACTTTCCTAACTTTATGACAAACCCTAAGAAATTATGGTATATATTTATAAATTTTTAATGGGAAAGGTCTCACTTTTAAAATAGGAACAGTATACTCCGTATTTTTCTTGCCTAAATAAAAATAATCACAATCGAATTTAGAAAATACTACGGAGTATCATACTAGTAATTTGAAATTCACTAAAATTTGTACTCTTATTTTATTTAGGGCAATTGTTACACACATATAGTCGCGCTTAGCAGTAGACGGCTCTTCTCTCCTCTGAATTTTTTTGTCCTTGCCTTCTCCAAGGTAAGTTAAATTCTCTTCTTCGTTCGTATGTAGTTAGTTATTTCAGATTTCATATGGTTTCCGATGAATAGGCTCTGCAAATACCTTAGGATTTTTAACTTCACTTGTAAATATTATACTCCGTATTTTCCTGTTGTTTTGTTTTTCGATTTGAGTTTGTATACGCAAGTTAATAGGTTCATCATTAGAGAAGCCTCACAAGTCACAATTTATGCTAATGTTGTAAATTGCTTAACCTCAATCCAGAAACAGAATCAAATTTGTGTTTTTACCTTCCGCCAAAGTATGCAAAAATAATTGTATTTCTAAACTAGTATACGATCAAATTGCAGGGAGCATTAAAAAAACTGTATATACTATCGTATAATTTTTTGGGGAAAATACATATTCAAGCCTCCAATAAGCTAAGCATCTATCGCGTGATTAGACAATATCTAATTTGTTGTTATTTTCATTGTTGTATTTGTAGCATTAGCATCACGAGTTATGGCCTTTCAGTGTCTTTCATGGATCAGGGATCTGTTTGAGGAAGTTTTTGGTGATGATATCACTAATAGTGCTGCAGCAGAGGACGCATTGACAGACAGAAGTACACCGCTCACAGTTATTCATGAGAAATTGATGAAAAAATTCCCGAGAATGTTAATTTCTTCTGCATCATATCATTTTGAGGAAGTTTTTGGTGATCATTTGACTAATAGTGCTGCAGTGGAGGAGGCATTGACAGCCGGATCATCACCACTGGTTATTATTCATGAAAAATTGATGAAGAAAGTTCCCAGAATGTTAAATTCTTCACCATCATCTCTTGTTGATGAGCAGCAGAGCAGCAGGCCTATAATTATTCGTTATTGTAAGAGAGGGGGCGAAGATAACTTGAGGCTTTACATTGTAAATGGAAACTCTGAAAAGGAGTGCAAGGTCAGAGGCCTGAACACACTGAAAGGAGCTTACCTTGTAAACGCTTGCCACGGACTAGGGTTGATTTCGACCAGGAACCTGGAAGCATATACCAAATATGCTGTGTTTAATCCTCTATCAAGAGATAGAGTCCAAATAGTAGGAACCCCCAATGTATCTGCTAGCCGAGCATGCGGGATTTTCTTCCATCCTTTAGCAAAAGAACACAGGATTCTTGCCGTTCATGGAAGAAAACCTGTATTTGAATATCACATTTACTCAACCGGAGCCAAACGGTGGAGGCAAACTGCAAACCCTTATTTTCATCACGAGCCTAAACGCCTTTGGGGAGATGGGAAAAATCCATATAGGGTTGTCGAGGGTAATCCAGCAATTGTTAATCAAGCTCTGCATTGGCATATCGGGGGTGTAATGATTTTTGATATGGTTAGTGAAGAGTTATCGCTCAGACGCCTCCCTTTTGAGGAGTACATGGCTGAAAAGGATTACATAGCCTTTTTGTTGGTGAAAGAAGACCGCTTGTGTTTCTGCCTTGTGGATTCTGAACGCCTGGCAATAGATGTATGGGTTTTGGAAGACTATGGGAATTGGTCTTCTTGGACTAAGAAATATATGGCGAAACTTAGTTGGGATGTGAATGTGTTTCCTTTCACCGAACCTTGGGCTACTTCGGATGTAAGAATTATCAGCATCCATAAGGATGAATTGGTATTGTTTTGGAGATATCGAGGCCTATTCATCTATTCCTTAAAGGCCCACAGTATAAGGCAAATTTGCAAAAAGTTAAACATGCACGTTAGTCCCCGTGATTATGATAATTTTCTCGGGTTTGCAGCTTATACTCCAACAAGTGATCCTATATGATGATGGTCACTGCAACATGGGCGTCACCGTTTATGTTTACATCTTCGATGGTGCATTTAACTTCAAAATCACAACGGACTGCAAATTTATATTTTGACTACAAGATCCTTTTCATCCAAACATCCCAAAGTCCGACATTACTGCACTGTCATCCTCTATTCTCAGCTGCTCTCGCTTGCAAGAAATACGGGTGGGCCTAATGGAGCAAAGAGAATGATGTTATTCTTTATGGCAAAAGCTTTTTTTTATAGTTTATGGCAAAAGTTAAACAGTGTGGAATGAACATTAACGATTTAATTCAATGGGAAAAAGGGTGAGGTAATAATTACTTTTGATAGTTTTTGATAGGATTACTTTTGGCTTTAGGGAAATAACTAGTATGACTGTACGAGGAAATAATCCAAGGAAAGTTCAGCTTTTGATCCCCATGGAAATATGGTATATGTCGTTTTCACGTTCATCCAAAATGAGAGAATTGTCAAATTATAGGGGGGAAACCTAACCATATCTTTAAAAATAATGCATACCTCCCAACCATAGCTTCAAGTTGAGGATCAAGCTCTAATCCGTACTTGTGTAGATATGCATTCAACTCATCTGTTCCAAGAACCTAAATCAAAAGGATCCATAACAAAATATCATATAAAAATCTGAAGGCCTTTTAATTTATTAGGTGTCAATAAAATCAAAAATTGCCCAACCATCATTGTTTCAATTTCCCAGTGGCATTTTTTGTTTTACTTTGATGAGTCAATACAGCAAAAAACTACCCATAACTCTAACTATTCAGGATTACCTTGGCAATCTTGACATGCGGATCTTGAATATAATGCCCATAAAAGAATGGTTCCTAGCGAAAAATCTGCATACATTACAGTGCAGAATAGCCATGAGGAAGACACAAGTCAAAAGATCAAATTTAAAATTAAAAAATAATGACATAAAAGTGATAAAACCATGGCAGGTTTCTTACCATTCCAGCAAACATGCACCCAAGGCTTCACACATCCAAAGAATAGTCATAGTCTTGCAAGTCAACAAGAAGTACAGGACCCTTAAAAATATCTGCATAATTTAAAAATTCAAAATTGTTTTAATATGTTAAATAGCTTAAACATTGAGTTGATAAGTTAACCCTGTTGACAAATTAGCAAGTACTAGTAGTAGTCTATTACATGAAAGAGACTACTAGTAGTTATCCTTACATGTATTAGCTAATTTGCTAATTTGCTTTTTATACCTTTATTTAATAAACAAATCATATAGGTATCTAACTGCGAAATTGGTCCATCAAATTACAGCATCCCATTATTCCTTGTGAATGGCAAAACTCCAGAGCCTGCAATTTCATATGAAAGAAGAAAAACTCAAATAGCTTTTTCCTTCCGTATGTAGTTTAGATGAAGGAATGAGCATCCACTAAGCTAAGCTTTACAGATCATCAAGAAATTGGTTTTCTTTTATAATAAACTTGATTTGAAAGCTTTTTATACCTTTATTTGATAGTATTTGATAAAATCTTTCAAACGAACTAAATTTTTTTGTCTAAAGCTTCTCTTTTATTATGTTAAAACCTTTAATTAAGTTCCGGTTGAAAGAGGGAGATATAAACTCCAAATATTATATTGGGATATTGTGGGGGGTGAGGTTGTGAAATTATGTTCAGAGATACGTTCCAAGCGGGAAGTATACCGGGGGAATTAAATAAAACTAATTCAGTTCTTATTTCTAAGAAGGATTTTCCAGAAGACATGGGGGATTGGAGGCCAATAGCTTTGTGCAATGTAGTTTATAAATTTTTTTAAAGGTTTTAGCTAATCGACTCAAAAGTGTTCTGCATTATTTCCTTTCGGATCAATAGAGCATGTTTATTCCAGGGCAGACTATTATTGATATATCATCGTCGCCTTTGAAACACAACATTATTTGAAGCGTAAAAATAAAGGTAAGGAAGTCTTTGTGGCATTAAAAGTTAATATGGGTAAAGTGTATGATCGGATTGAATGGTCTTTTTTAAGACAAATTATGTTGGGATTGGAAAATTCTTCTATTCAATATCAAGAACAGAATTACAATAGGAGGAGCAAACTCTCACACTCAACTATTACAAAAAACCAATCCTCACCAATACACTTCTACTCTAAGTGTATTTTCACTCTTCACACACTTTTCTCACTTTCTAACCTAATGATAATGAACAACATGGAGCACTCTATTTATAGGACTAGTTTGGAGACAAGAGGAAGTTGCATCCAAGCTTCCATTCACATGGTTAGGGAGCTTCCTAGCTATCTCCAAATAATCTTCTTCCATGTTCATATGTTGGAGACCTCCTTCCAAGAAGGTGTGAGATGCCTCTTGGCAACTTCCAAGAAAGAAGATGGAATATCTCTACAAATTATGACTCATGTGGGTTTTGATCAGAAATGGGTTGAGGTTGCGATGGCCTGTGTTTCGTCGGTTAAACTATTTTATTCCTTTTGATAAGGGTGTGCTTGGACTGATTCTTCCAGAAAGGAGACCCAGACAGGGTGATCCTTTCTCACCTTATTTATTTATTATGGTGACAGAAAGGCTGAGTTTTATGCTTAGAAGGGTAGAGGAGCGAGGGCCCCAGTTGTAGCATTTGCTATTTGCGGATGACAGTTTCCTATTTTTTAAAGCTTCAATAAAGGAAAGGGAGGAGGTTAAGAGGATTTTGGCTGAGTATGGATGCCAATCGGGACAAACTGTAAATTACAGAAAGTCTACCTTGGCATTTAGTTCGAACACTTGTGAGGAGATGAGAGCTAATCTTAGCAACTGTTTTGGTATAGCACAAGAAGGTTTACAAAGCTGTTATTTGGGGTTACCGTCCCCTGTCGGAAGGAGGAAGAGGGAGATTCTCGGGTATATAAGAGAGAAGGTTATTAGCCACAAAGTGTTGAAACAACAGATTTTTGTCTCATGCAGGTCGAGCGGTTCTATTGAAGAATGTTGTTCAGGCAATGCCTAATTACGAGTTACCTAAGGAGTTATGTGGAGAGATAGAATGAATTATGAATGGTTATTGGTGGAGAGGAGCGGGTTTTACTAAGAGGGGTATTAGATGGAAGATTTGAAAAGGAATGTGTTAGATGGGAGGTCTTGGGTTCCGAAGCCTTAGAGAATTTAGTTTGACAATGTTGGCTAAGCAAGTGTGGCGTTTCTTGACTGCTAGAGATAGTTTAGTGATACCGGATTTGTAAGGCTCGATATTTTCCTCACTCGAGCTTCAAGGAAGCTAAACTGGGCAGCAACCCATCATTCCTCTGGCGATGCAATATGGAGAAACTACAGATTGTGATTGAGCAATGGCGCACGAAGGAGAGTAGGAAATGGGGTTCATGTCCAGTACTCCAGTGTGGGAGGATGCATGGCTTCCGATTCCAGGACCTGGTAAAGTTTCATCTCCTACCTACGGGCATTTATGACATGAATGTCGCAGCTCTTAGATCCGAGGATGGTTTATCATGGAATAAAGACGGAGTGAAGGCTATTTTCAATCCAGAAGACAGCAAACGAATTTTGAGTATCCCATAAGTGTTCGCGTCCAAAAAGTACTATTTGCGTCCAAATTTTTTGCGTCAATAGTAGTGGACGCTAATAATATATTTTTTGTGTCCACGTATTAACGCAAAAAGAATTACGTATGCCAATAATATTGGGTTACACCTTGCCGACGCTAAAACTATTCTCTAATCTGTAGGGAGTAATACTTATCAAGGGCTGACCTCAATGGATAAAAAAACTCGCACTCTTCTTTCTCCATACGCCCAGACCTAGGTTTTGCGCTCATCTCCGCCGCTCGCTTCTCCCCTTTGCTCCCATCTACCTCCCTAAGTTCCAGTCGCACAACGCCTTCAACCTACTGCACGCCGTCGATATGCGCCTCCGTCGCGAACTCGCAGGACGCAGCGTTTCGAATCACCAGAATCACAGCTTCATCACCACACCATCGCACCGCCCCCAGCCTCCACTCCTGGTTAGTGATTAACCTCCTCGCATACTGCAACCTACATATTTTAAACCTAATCTCAAATTCCTAGAGGCATTTCTCAAATCTCAATTTTCAGTGCTTGCCTTTTTATTATACCTAATTACTATTTCCTAAACTGAATGTTGAATGTTAGGTCCTAATTAAACTCAATGTTGAATTTTATATCCTAATTAAACTGAATATTGAATGTTAGTACCTCCTGCATAACTACATCTTACCTGATTTTGAAACCTTAATTTTCAAACTAATTTTGAATAGGTTTGTTCCAGGATTCAATTCAGGTAGGTTTTCTATGCCTTACTATCTAAAACTGAAGCATTCTTGGTGTTCGTAAATTTGTCTCATTCAGTTGTTTGAATTGTATGGTCATTGGTCAATAATCGGTTTGC